GGTGAGCCAGAGAGCAGTCGGCAGGCGGGGAGGCAGCCACGCAATTTGCAGGGAACCATGTTCTTTGCTTAACGAGCCGTGTTAGCAAACCTCACCTGAACTTGTGCCTGAAACTTTGTATTCCCTTCGCATTTGCCAGCGGGCACAGAGAGAGACCGGCTCAGCGAAGAGGCTGCAGCTCCCACTGCCGAACCCAGCTCCATCGCCCACCACCAGCTCGATGGCCCGGCATCTGCGAATGTATTTAGCTGATGATTTAAGCTTTGATTCCGTTTAATTTAGATGTTAGAAGAGTTTTATTTTAGGACTTAATATGTTATTTATGAAGGTATGTCAACACAGCATATCAATTTAGCAGCTGCTGCGAGTTTACTATGAGACGCTGTTTAAGACAGGACAATCTGTCTCGCTATATAATGTCAATTCTGTAGCACTTACACAAATGCAAAATCACTGCAACATTAGAAACAAACCCCAGCCATACCAGAGACTTAAAGAAATACCTTGTACACTGCACGATAAATTATTGACTTTATGGCATTTGGTGCTGAATTAAAATGATAAAGTTCTTATCTGCCGAAAGCTGTTTCCATGGTGTTGAAGCAGCAGATGGCCTTTCCTGGAGATAAAGGACTTCAAAGCTTTGCCAGTGCGGAGCAGAACTGGAGATTTAACATATGTATTGTAAAATTTAAGAGGCGAGCACCTGGCGGTGCAGCCTGCCAGAGGCTGGCATGGCTCTGCCTCGCCGTTCGAGCCCCGGGTGTCCGAGCAAGGCCAGCACCCCCCGCGCCCCCCGCCCAGCCCACCGTGCGCCCAAAGGCTGTGTGGGCCAAACCCGCTGGTTATCGGGGGCTCTTTCATACTTAGTCAGGAGGGAAACCCCAACAGTCACAGCCTTCCCTTCACTCACACTAACAGTGTGGTGGCCCTGTTTTATGAGTCATTAATTCCTAATAAGAAGAAAACTGCATGATGGGCTTTGGATATGAATAGTTTACTGTATCAGAGACAATCCATGATCTAAATTACCAGCTATAAATCAATTTCTGAATGTTGACATATCTTTAATAATGATAAATGAAGAATTTACGAATGCTGCTAAAGTTCACACCAAGATTTTGATTTATGAGCACGCCGAGCTCCAGTGGAGCCACGAACCCCAGGCCCAGCACCTTGTCCCAGCCTCGGACACCAGTGTGTCCCTCACCCGCACTCCAGCGACCGCCCACCCCTCGTCTCCCTCGGTGCTGCGGGGCTGGAGGTCCCCATGGACCACAGCCAGGCAACTGCCGGGGGGCCCGAGCTTCAGCGGCTGGCGCCCGGGTTTCCCACCCCCCGCCGCCCGCCCTCGGCTCCACGCTGCCGTCAGCCGGGACAGCGAGAGGCTCTCTCTCTGTGCAGTGAAGGATGCTCCCCTCATCCGGAACAGATCACTCTCAGGTGGTGCTTCTCCCTGACTCTCTGTTTCTCTTGACTCCACCTGCAGACACCCACTCCCACTGCTGTGAGGGTCCGGGGGGGGGGACAGACAGGGTCACGGGGCGAGCTGTGACTGCCTGAGCTCCCGCAGAGCTCGGGACACCTGAGCAGCACAGGGCTGCTGCCACGAGCTGCCAGGCTGGAGGGAGAGGGGCTGGAGCAGAAAGCTGGGAGCCAGGAGACGCCGAGCCGTCGGCTGCGAGAGGCCAACAGTGACCAGGAAATGGCATGGCCACCTGAAGACAGTCTCATTTTGTACTAGCACCATGGTAAGGGTAGGAGCTCCACCACGTACTTCACACAAACAAGACGTGAATAACCATGGACATAGGCACAGCCCTCCGTCCGTCTGTCCGCTGGCTCTGCCTGTCCGTCTGTGCTACCTGGTGCTTCAGGACGCACCTCCCCTATACGGGCTGTTGTTCTCACGCACGTGTGCCAGGACGGCCTTCTGGGCTGGAAAGCTGCTTTTCATTTGATTTCGATTTACTGGTGGAATTAAGCTGGTGTAAAACAGTGTGTGAAGAGAAAAATTACCATGTCTGTTTAGAGAGCGTAAAATAGGTACTTAACTGTTTGACCACTTAGATGGTGGGCTCCAAATCAATTTTCACCCAGCTCACATCCCACCACAATTAATACGCTGAAAATGATGCCTGTTGGAAGCAAACAGCGAACAATAAACAACCTCAGTGCCTGTCACTCCTCTCCTTCAGCCTTGCACTCTGCCCTTCTGCCCGTGCCTTGCCTGCGCCCTGGACTGCACCCGCAGAGCAGCCACGACCAGCGGCCGCGTTTCCTTCCCCGCAAGGACTGACAAATACTCCACTACAGCACAGACAGCCAAAGCAACAGCAACAGAAAAACATCTCACTGCACAAAGGAGAACCAGAAAACCCTTCACATTACAGCGTAACTTGCAGATCACCGTTTCATGTACTTTTGTCATGCAAATACAGTTAACAAGAGTCACAAGTAGAAATCGAAAAAAAAACACGCATCGTTTCTTCCAGCTGGATTCAGGAAGATCAAACATCATGTCTTACTCTTTTGATCTTTCTTTAAATAATGATGTAACCAGATCCTTTCCCCCAACAGCCTGAATTATAAAGCTACCCACATCTGGCAACCCAAGCAGCAGAGAGTTAAGCGAGTCCAGTTCGTGTTCCACGGTCACAAAGTTTTACTAAAGGTCTTAAGTATTGTTTTCAGTCCAAGAGCTAACGGGCTCGGCGGCAGCGGGCAGGAGACCGGAGGGGACCATCCTGCTCTGCTGTAGTGGGGCTGGAGCTGCTTGTGGTCGCGGAGGGCCGATCCCTCTCCACCCAGCCCCACATTTAACAGAGTCTGGAAGCGGTGCAGCGAGAAGCACCAAGCTATTTGTCCCAAGCCAAGGCCATGACAGCTCCCCAGCCTGCCAGAGAAACATTCATTGCTAAGCAAGTAATTAGTGGCTACAAAATATAATCAATACAATTACACTGAGGGTTTTTCTCCTCTCCCTGTCCAGAGTCTTGGCACTGAACAGTCTTATAATTAGATGACAAAACTGACAGCCAGCTCCAGTGAAACAGCCCACCCTCGCCTTTTGCAGACACTCCCCAGGTGTTCTGCACCAATAATTACTAATCGAGTTATTTCTTTCAGTATTAAAAAGGCGTTCCACAGGTTATTTGCCCATAGTAGCACAGGCCCAGTGCTGGCAAACAGCCCCGTACCTGCAAAGCCCAGCGGGTCTGGGACGGCTTCAGCTCTGGGCTCACGGACGCTCCCAGATGTGACCCCCCAGCTCAGGACCCTCCCGTGCCCCACAAGCTCCGGGCCCTGCACGGCCGCTCCATCCCCTGAAACTGCCACCCCAGGGCACCCGGCATGGTGCAGCCCACCAGCATCCCACACACACGCTTCTCCGGCACATCGCGATGGGAGCCCTCGACGCAGCTGGGACAGGAACGTGGGCGAGGGACGGGGCAGACCGCAGAGGGAGAGGCAATGCCCAACGAGCCCTGCTCCTCTGGCCTGTGGCTGGGCACAAGGATAACCGGTGTGAGGGAGGACGAGCGGGCACAGAGGCAGCAGGGTGCCTGAGCCTCCTCTCCCGAAGGTCCAGCCTGCTCGCCCGCAGCCAGGTCCTCGCCGGCACGGGGCCATGCCCTCCTCAGCACTGTCTCATCCCAGATGTTCGCAGCTGCTGCTGGTGTGTCCTGGCTCAGTGGCACTGCAATGATGTCATCCATCTGCATTTTCTAAGACTATTTGGCAAAAAAAACCCCAAGTCTATAATTTGTCATTACAATACAGACCTCGAGAACAGCTGAACAAACCACTAATATTGAACAAACAAACAAACAAAAGCCCATAATGGCTTCTATCGAGCAGAGACCCAAAGCTGATGGATGACCTGTAGCAGCACAGGAGAATTATTTGTGAATTGCAATTGATTTCCAAAATCAAAATGTAAATTTTGCCTCACAGATGAAGTATCCAGGGAAGTTCTTGCTTTTAGAAAGTCTTCTCTCTCCCTGTGACTTTTTTTGGGAGAAATAACATTCACTCCAGCCAAGCCCAGATTATTTTGACTGACAAAGAGCGAGCTGGTTGAACTCGGGCGCTGGGGGCTGGCCTGCGCCTGAGCATGGCAGGGTGTCCTCAGCGTCCTCCCAGACGCCCAGATGCTGACACCGGGGCAGAGCGAGCAGCGCATGGTTCAGGACAAGGGCCTGCAGCGCTGGCGTGAACCCCCCGGGACCCACCACATCCCCCGAGACTGGCGGCAGTGTGAGCAGTGCTGGCCGCTCCCTCAAGCCAGCGCCGGCAGCAAGGGTCCCAAGCCCTTGCTGCATCTCAGCACAGAGCAGACAGCCACATCCCGCTGTTGCAGGGAACGGTGTGAGATGACTGTCCAAGCTGAAGCACCTAAACCTGTATTTTAGACCCAAATAGGTGCCCACCGAGGTTTCTGAAGGACCAAGCACCCACCACTGCACCACGGCCTTAGTAAGCGGCTCCAGCCCACGGCTTTACCCCAAGAGCCCACGTCTGCGACCAGCGAGCTCCGCAGCTCCTGCTCCGCCGCCTCCAAACTGGGCTCCGCACTTGGGCAGAGCTCCGCACGTCACTGTGAAATCTAAACCCACAGCGCTCGCCCTGAGCTGTTACACACCATTAACAGAGCATCTGCCACGCCGCAAACAGCGCCGAGTGTTCAACGCTTCTCCCGTCACCTACCACTAACAACATTAGTCTTACTGCTACGAACAGAGTGTGCAGCAGAAGGCCAGCGCCCACGAACGCCCGGCAATCTGCACCGTTCGAAACAACCCCTCTCCATCCCGGCACAAAGAGCCGCTGGTGCCTCTGAGCGATCCCGCCTGGGTCCGCAGACCCAGCAGCCCGGGACCGCACTTCCGACATCAGCCCCGCCGGCGGTGGCTGCCACTGGTGCACACGCTGCTCTGCTCCCAGCAGCTCAGCACCCGCTATTCCTCTGCATCCCCAGCCTCTCATCAGTATCTAACCCATGACAAACCCATTACGACGCTAAAGATTGGAATTACTGTGATCCCAGGCAGATGCCTAGGAACTGGCCCAGAGACACAGCAGTGTTTTGCAAAAGGCAGTAATAAATTACTAAAGGTCATCTACAATTTATCACTGCTTTGGATGCCAGACAGTGGTACTGCTTCACCTAGGGAAGCAGCCTCGTGGGTGCCAGAGCATCTGCTCTGACTGAGCCTCTAACAGCAACGTTTTTGCTTATTTTATTGGATTGGAAGTATCCCCAATAAGCACGCTGTCTGCTTGTTTGAGTGATGCCTTTGCCACACAGCACTGTGGATTTACATCCCATCCGCTGTGCACAACTGCTCTGACAACTGGAAAAGCATCTGGGGCGAAGACAAAGCTCTGCCCCACCAGCCCCCCCTGCACACCCCGTCCTGCCCAGCTTGGCCCTGAGGGAAGCGGCACCTCTCAGCATGACCCTGACCGTGAGGGAGAGCCCCTGCGGCGCAGAGACTGCAGAGCTGGCTGGCAAGGGGCACGGGCACAGACCCTTCCTCCCGGCCTCTCCATGCGCTTGGGCCACCCCCTGCTCCCTGGGGCTCTGCTTGAAGGTTGGGTGGGGGGTTGGTAACACCCTAGGGGCTCCAGGACCCTCTCAGCAGAGCCTCCTGCTTGCTGGCTGTCACTGCCCAGTGGCCTCCAGCGGCTGAGACCCCCCACGACCCACCAGCCACGGATGCTCCCATGGCTCAGCTGCTGCAGCAGTGCCATTCCCCAGCCTGCACCCCATTCCTGTCCTCGCTCCAGGGCTGTCCTCACTCTTTTGGGCTCCGATTCTGCCTCTCCCACAGCCGGGGAGCAGTCAAGGGCACAGACAAACACTACACACAGCGAGACCCTGCCAGTCCACACTGGCAGTTACAGCCTCTCACTTTAGAATCAGGAAAAATAATTACCAGCAACTTTTGGAAGTAAATAAATGTTGGTGAGCTGAGCTGCCTGAATTATTAATGGTCAGTTCAACTGTTCAGACACCTTGGTCATTACTAAGAATATCTGATGCCAATAAAACTCTTTGCCTATGGTGCTGCCAATGTAAAAAAACGTGTATACAAAACCAGCTACCCTCAAGCACAGAGAAATTCTCTGAGAAACAAGCTCAGAGGCTCGCGAATCCCCCAAATGCACCCCTGGTGCAGGCTGGGTCATAATCACCAGGATGGGGCAACTATGCACAAAAAGAGGGGAGCAGGGAGCAGGCTGGGGGACAGCGGGACACCCCAGCAGCAGTGGGAGACCCAGAGGATCCGGAGATATTAAGAAAAGCTCACGTATTCTTTTGTCGCAAGTGCAAGGGCTAGACAGCAGCACATCAGCCACCTGCCCGAGCCAGAGGCTGCTCGGTGCTCGAGCCCGGCAGAGCTGCAGGAGACGCGA